ATTATATAAATTACATAATTTGTATCTGAATATATTTGGAGGGAAATCTGAGAATAGATGATCATGGAAAATTTCTATCACACGACACGAGCCTTTCCTCCAATCTAAACATTGGTAAAATCAAAAACATATATCTTTTTAAATAAACCCGTTTACACTTCCATGAAGTGAACTGGCTGGGTGGCGTAAGAACTGCCCCCCCCCCCTAAAAAATAGTAAAATGAAGGACAAATCATTAAATCCGGGCCATGTAATTCCTTACTGAATTTTGATTTTTCATTTCGATAATGTGCATGCATTTCACAGTAATTTGAAACGTTATGAATAAAATTTAACAGCGATTCTTCGATCTTGAAAACGTTTAGCAATGCCTCATTATCATCAACAATATAACATTTGTAATGAATTCTCGTGAGCCAATTGACCACCCAAAAATATTATTGCGTGTCGAGTATGGAAGAGCAAAGAAGCAAAACAGGCATTTTTGTTGCACTGAAGCCGATGCAACTTTCATCGAGCGCGCTCCAGAATAATTGTAATCGATTTTTTCAACTCTGATGGAAGCAAAAAAGTTTTTGTTCTGAAAGTTTTTGAAAACTGAGACTTGTCAAGACTGAGAATTGTCAAGACTGAGAATTGTCAAGACTCAGAATTGTCAAGACTGAGAATTGCCATGACTGAGAATTCTCAAGACTGAGAATTGTCAAGACTGAGAATTGTTAAGACTGGGAATTGTCAAGACTGAGAATTGTCAAGACAGAATTGTAAAGACTGAGAATTGTCAAGACTGAGAATTGTCAAGACTGAGAATTTTCAAGACTGAGAATTTTCAAGACTGAGAATTGTCAAGACTGAGAATTGTCAAGACTAAGAACTGTCAAGACTGAGAATTATCAAGACTGAGAATTTTCAAGACTGAGAATTGTCAAGACTGAGAATTGTCAAGACTGAGAATTGTCAAGACTGAGAATTGTCAAGACTAAGAACTGTCAAGACTGAGAATTATCAAGACTGAGAATTGTCCAGACTGAGAATTGTCCAGACTGAGAATTGTCCAGACTGAGAATTGTCCAGACTGAGAATTGTCCAGACTGAGAATTGTCAAGACTGAGAATGGTGAAGACTGAGAATTGTCAAGACTGAGAATTGCCAAGACTGAAAATTGTCGAGAATGAAAATTGTCAAGACTGAAAATTGTCAAGACTGAGAATTGTCAATACTGAGAATTGTCAAAGTGAGAATTGTCAAGACTGAGAATTGTCAAGACTGAGAATTGTCAAGACTGAATTGTCAATACTGAGAATTGTCAAACTGAGAATTGTCAAGACTGTGAATTGTCAATACTGAGAATTGTCAAACTGAGAATTGTCAAGACTGAGAATTGTCAAGACTGAGAATTGTCAAGACTGAGAATTGTCAAGACAGTGAATTGCCCTGTAAGTTTTCTGGACAATTCTCAGACTTCACGCAATTAAAAGGTACTAAGCGCATTAGTAATCGTGCGAACTATTTTCAAAACATTTATTATCTATGCAAATAACTCAGCAAATCACATAGCATGATTGAGTTTCGTCTAAATGATTGACATTTTACTGTGTGCTGGATTGACATTTGTGTGTGCCTGTATTTATGAATACTCGGCTGTCTTACCGCCGCTCAAATAATATAAATTTATCCTGAAGTGAGACTACTTCTCCTGTCTCGATACTGAGATGCGTGTTCCATTTTATAGCTTATATCGGCTTCTTGCTTCATGATAGCAAGGCAACAAAAGGAGCTCTTGTGAAAGCCCGACCCAAACTGGATTAAGATGCACTTTGGGGTGGCACCAAACTGTGGCTGTCATAGTGGTGACGAGAGATGGTGAGCATTGATGCTGGCCACCAAGGGAACAATATTTTATGGCTTAGTAAATGGGGAAATAAAGTTACAGTTGAGGAATAAATAAATGCATTAACAACCATATTCTTAATTTTTTATTCAACGTACATTCTGTTCCAGTTCAGTAGCGCCTTGGCCGACCATCCACTTCCTACAAATCATTGCGGATTTCTGCCAAAATTGTGACCACTGACGACAATGTAGGAACGAACCATTGCCGGTGACGAGCATTGAGTTCCTAAATTACATGCGGGGATCATTAGTTCTAAGGTAACCGTCCATTTGGTTGATCTGTGTGTCCAGGGGCAACACGACAATCGCACGTAATAACCTAAATCGTCGGTCAGGTCTCCGTTCGTTATAAATTGTGCAGTCGATATTTGTTCCAGCAGACCTGTAGCTTGTGCTTTAAACTCTCATTATTTATTTCTAGTCTACGTTCATCATCACGCATTTTAAGGTATTCCGTTAGAAATTGTGAAGGAATATTTTTTTGCCCGTTTGCCCAGAATTTGTAATAGTCAATTTTTCAGACTGAGAGCCTTACTGTTGCTCCAACGAACATTTTAGATGATTCTTGAAACTGTGTTCTTAATCTCGTCTGAAGTAAGCTCTTTTGATAAACACAAATAAAATAATTTATTTACGCATTGTATTGATGCATAATGAATTATGTGTCAATAATAAATAATATTAAAGATATCAGATAGATCAAGCTCTAACAACAGTGAGAGATTGTTTGAAAGCGAAGTGTTATTAACAGAAGAATGTATTATGTATGTAGGACGTCGTGATTACTTCAATGTGTGTGGCTTCAGAAAAAAAAGCCAATACAGAAAGAGTCCAGTTTTAGTAAACTCTGGCCTCAGAAAGAGTCCAGAGTTTACTAAAATTGTTAAATCCAATGCAATAGGATATTACTTAATTAGAAGGCTGATGGCGATCGTTATGCTTGCGATTATCGTAGAGCTTATGATCAATGTGAGAATTTGCGAGCAAACAACCTTTCCAGACTGCGGAGTCCAGTTGTTCAACTGATTGGGCCTCGGTTGTTATATAACATCGGTCGAAAGTTAGAACATCTTATTGTGTCGTAGTGTCATCATGTGATTGTGATGAGTTTTGACTTAGTTGGGGCAAAAGGTCCAGTGATGGCTCATCACTTGATCACACTACAGCACAACAAGCTTTTTTTTGTAACTTTGGACCAATGTTAGGTACCTTTAAGGCCATTCATATTGTAAGCAAGTTTAATCTCCAGCAGTGGTTTTAGACGGCAATTCAAAAATTTCTTGTCAAGTCTGCGCAAAAATCTCCACACAGGTGAATACGATTTTACTGATCGAGCAACGTTGGGCTCGATCGAGAGCGCGAAGACCAAGTTCATAAACTTGACTAAACGCGACCGAATAAAACTGAAGTTTCCTTGCAACGACGGCCCAAGAGAGCCCCAAGCAACTTGACTCCTTGACATCGAAGTTTAGTTCGCAAACAAGCCGCTCTTCCAGTGCTGCAAAACGTCTAACCGAATTACTGAGCGGGCCTGTTGACACTTGCCTCAAAGTTTGTTAGCCGCCATGCGAGGCGTGAGCTCTGATGCCGGCAGCACGTCTGGTGTCGAAGAAATGTTCTTTTCATTTGTTAAGTTCACGATTGCTGCAGCAATGGTTGAGGTTCACGTCACGTATATTTAAATAAATTACGTTTGTTAAAGTCGTTATGGTATCATCACATCAACAGGAAAATCAATTTCGAGCATTACCCATTTCTAGGTCATGTGCTCAAAGGTAATAAAGGAAATTGATCTGTCAATATCTCTGTGATTTAATATAGTCGAATTAGTAAAAGCACTCAGTAAATATGGACTTGTAACATTCCCCGTTTTATAATCACTGCATGTGAAATTGTGCGAGAGTTCGACAAGAGTCAATTAAGAATGGAAGCCTTGCGAGGCGTTTCGTTCGTCGGGTATCATGTTGCTCGATTTTCAGAAGTTGGAGAAGACATATCAACTCCAAAATTCAAAGGTCAACCGGTGAACTTTTAATGGACGTCTCAGTACAGTTGCCATTTGTGGATTTGTTTCACGGGTTACTTAGGACGAAAGTTTCCAGGGATTTTTCATTCAGTCAGAAGCAGCTGATACTTCGCGAGAACGTCGTGAAATTAAAAAAGTCGTAGATTCCGTCGATTATTCCTTGCCTTGTCAAAATCGAGGTTGTGTCGTTATTAAATGGGTGAGGGGAAGACAATTCGTTACGTGGCCAAGTCGACAATTCGCCCCAGCATGAAATCTTGAGTGGGTGTGGTAATCACACTGCTGTGATGTTATTGTTATTGAAGGAGCAGTGGAACCGAGTTCATGTAGTCAGTCTCTATAGACAATATGGGCTGTTGATCGTGCCGAAAATAGAGCTTCTACAGGTCAGAATATTATCGAAGTGGCATCGCAGTTCAGAGCATGAGATTTAGCGCCAATTCGATGGACATCATGAGTCACTTTTTGTTGAGTTTTAAGATTGGTTGTCATGCAACCACAACAAGGTGGAACACCACGTTGGAGACCATTTCAGGATGGAGACGCGGGTATTTCGTCTCGAACACGTCAACGATTTATAACGTTAAGTCATCCGGTGCTGAAAGCTTGAAAATTGTCTGCTCGCCGGCTTCAATTTTTGACTATTGGGTCTGCAGTTTCAGTGACTTTCGACGCATGAATAATCAATGTCACTACAGTTTCACTTACACTGATTATTCAGTGGTTAAGCAACACCTGAGGGTCGGAACAGCTGTTGCTTGTGTTAAAAGTTAAGACGGATAATTTTTTCGGCTGAATATGAGCCTTCAAAGAAATTTCGAATCTTTTTAGCTGTAGTTGGCTCTTAATTGTCGATCCTAGCATGACCCTCTGTCACGAGAACGAGCTCGTTCTATGAAATTCTATGACCTGTTATCGAGTCGCAACGATAATCGGAATTTCCAGCGAATCTTTATCAATACCGGAAAAAACTCTAATTCGTGGACCGTGAGATGCGTGGGTTACTAGGAATTATGAATCGTGCAGTGGGATGGGAACACAACAGGTTGCGTTGATAGCAGCCATATATATCAGTAGTCCACAGACCTTATAGACGGCAAGCATCGTCCATCGACTCTCGTGTACGTCTCGGACAATTTCACGGCCGGACTCGCGGCTGGTCCCAAATTCAATGATCAAGGAATATCTCCCAAACTAATAAACGCAGCTCGATGAAACTTTGTGCACATACTTAATAGGATCAAACGGAAATGTTTAGCTCATGAAAATTTCTTAAATTTCGCCTTCTTAATAAGTTATATAGCGATACGGGCCGAAATTCGCAGTGGTCAAGGAATTTCTTTCAAACCACTGAACAAATTTGAACGAAAGTTTGAATATACATTACTAACTACCAAACGGTGATGTTTAGTTCGCGGAAATTTATTCGATTTTGCCTTCTTTCGCGAGCTTTTTTTTCATTTCACCTTCATTCGTGACTTAAACAGCAATACGTGCTTAAATTCTCAGTGATCAAGAAATTTCTTCTAAACTATTGAACAGATTTGAACGAAACTTTGCATATAAATATCTAACCTCCCAACGGTGATGTTTGGCTCGTGACAATTTTTTTTATTTTGCCTTCGTTTGCGGGTTATACGGCTATACGTATCCATCTCTTGGTCAATGTGAATTTAAAAATCGGCCTCAGAAATGCCAGCCGTTCCTCCGTAAATCCGCATAACTCGCAAACGAAGGCAATATCGAAAAAATTGTCACGAGCTAAACATCACCGTTGGGAGTTTAGGTATTTATTTACAAAGTTTTGTTCGAATCTGTTCGGTAGTTTAGAAGAAATTTCTTGATCATTGCGAATTTTAGCACGTTTTGCTGTTTAAATCACGAATGAAGGTGAAATAAAAAAAAATCGCGAGCGAAGGCAAAATCGAAAAAAATTGTCACGAGCTAAACATCACCATTTGGTAGTTAGGAATGTACAGTATATACGTAATTTCGTTCAGATCTGTTCAGTAATTTGGAAGAAATTCCTTCATCGCTGCGAACGTCGGCCCGTATCGCCATATAACTTAAGAATGAAAGCGAAATTAAAAAAATTTTCATGAGCTAAACATCACCGTTAGGTCCTTATATGAATACGTGTACCAAGTTTCATCAAATTGCTTTTATTAGTTTGGGACATATTTCTTGATCATTGAATTTGAAGATTGGCTGATAGCCCGGCCGCGAGTCCGGCAGTAAATTTTTCCGAGACGTCTCTTGTACCAACAGTGTTAATATCCAAAGCATCGCGCTCACGTTGAAAAGTTGTTGGCTACTACAATGCTTACTATAGAGTCTAATAGAGAATACTAAATAGGATACTGAGTGCTTATTAGGATGACATTTTTGTAGACGTCAAAAGATATCAATTCGTAGTGTTGAGGTATTGGACTTAAAACCTCTTTTGAGGTTTTAAGGAAACCTCTTGAGGTTTTAAGGAAACCTCTTTTTTTTAAGGAAACCTCTTTGAGGTTTTAAGGAACAGAAATATTTCTAGAAGAATGTATCCCAGAAAGTGAATTTCAGCTTCCTCTCTCTGACGTACAAATAAAAGTGAAGCATGGAGTAGCTAGAGTTAATTAAATTCAATTCTTAAAAGCAAACACCTCAACATTTTGGTCAAGTTTTTCTTTAACGGAAATTTTCACAACATTCACATAGCGTGGGTCATTTTCACTGGGTGTGGCAAAGCTTATAATCATTTAATGGCCTCTGATACCACCTGTATTCTACCAACAGAGATGGCAGTGCGTACAATGACAACATTGTTGTTGCTACTGACAGCAGCAACGATGCTGGCAGCAAGAAATCCTGGCAGTTATGTTGCTCCCAAAACTGGTAAGCGGACAAGTGTCGTACATTCCGTGCTTAATATCAGATCCTGCTCTCGTACACTGTACCTTGTTGACCCCGTAAGTGGAAACTGAATAGCGGATAGTCCATTTCCTAGTAAAGGTGAATGGACGAATAGTGAACCCAATTCCCTAATCTTTATAAATTCGGTGGATGGATACCTCAACTTACATCTCACTAGTTCTTCCAACCCTGCGAGGGCAGAAGAGAATGGGGCTTTTGGGTTCTCGCAGGCTGGGGCTTGCACAGGAAGCTCACAAAAGACTGATAATACGTAATTAAAAAGTTGGTAACGCAACCACCTCGGTGGTTATTTCGGTGGCCTTAGAATTATTTCAGCAGCTGGTTACGGTCACCGCAAAAGGGATTTGGGGATGCCTCTGCTGGGTGTGGTCACTAAAAGCGCGTTTGTGGACACATTTACTGGGTATGGTCACCCAAAGTGCGTTTGAGTCCCTATAGGTACAGCGACCCTGAGCGTTTTTGAGGATACAGCTGCCGGGTATCGTCACTCTGAGCGTGTTCGAGGACACAGCTGCGGGTTACGGCTACTCTAAGCGTGTTAGCCGTAAATTTGTCCGAAACGTGTACATTCACGCAAGACTTCTTTCACCGAAATGTTTCAAGTCGATGCAAAATGTTGTCGCTACACATTATAAATATATCAACATATTGTCTCGTTCATTTTTACGTAAGGCGTTTCGTATCTATATACACTGTGCAGAATGAAGACCATGGTTTTCTCGATGTATGACGTAGCGATTAGTTTTCTAAAAAAAAAATATTAAGGGTTAGCTCGTGCGGAATTTTGCTGACATAAACAATGTTGGTGCGCAGGCGCGTGCCCGTCAGGGTATTACGAGTGTCAGGACGGAGTGTGTATCATAGATCCGTGGGTGTGCGACGGCTGGGACGACTGCACCAACGGGGAAGACGAAGAAAACTGTGGGTCGACAACTGCAAGTACTCCCGCGGGTAAAATATATGTAATGTAAGGGTGTCTGTATATTATTATTTTACTTGTTATTGTCTAATTTTATTTATTGCTGCGGCATGTTTACAATGGTGTAAAAAGCATTCACATTCACCACCTGAGTTAAATTACAATTAAATTATTTTGAAAATAGATGTATATATTAATAAAATGTACTGGTAGTTTAGCCCGACGATGCCCGATAATCCCTGAACTTTTAAAATCTCGTCATCCCGAATTCAAATAATAAAGTTACAGTATTCTAAATTAATAAAGACCCATTCAGGCCGACATAGAACCCAGAAATCACAGTTAAAGTTAGAAAAAAATAAAATATAAACAAAAACATGAAAAATTTAAATTATTGATCCAAACATTTCCTCAAAGTTTTTCAATGTCTTGCTATTCACAAAAGATAAATTTTCAGGTCCGGGTAATATCTCGATACATAAAAATATCATGGATACGCGACAGCCTCTGTATGTTTGCGGCGCCAGGCTTCAAACAGACAAGCTAAATATATCTAAATATCTAAAAAATCTATAGGTATCTAAAAATATCTATATATCTAAAAATATCTTTATATATATCTATATTTATGATAATATGGAGAGATATGCAGGATCAGAAAAGCCATTTGAATCAGATATATTACCTTAAGGCTTATAGTATACAACCCTCTAAAACCCTCTAAGAAGTTTTCATTGAAGCTTTTATCCTCCAGTTTTTATAAAGTATTGCAAACTAAAATATTTAAAATACCTGCTGCAATCACATCCGTAGAATAAAAAATGAACAATTTAATCTGTAACTAAATAATGAAGAATCATGTCATGTATAACCTCTTTTCTTAGTTCTTATTATTAAACATTTAGCAGCATTTTGAAACAGCTGGTGACATGTTATTGCGAGGATGACAGATTATATTCACACAGAGCTGCGAAATATTATCTTCACACCTGCAAACTGCATGCGACGACAACTTATGACCCCAAAAAATATTGAATAACTGCTTAGAGATTTGGCAAGAAAGTGCTTAATACGAGTGCTTACGAGGGTAAAACAGACATCAGTGACCTCGTCAACACATTGGAAAGACTAACAGATCCCATAAGAGTCAGGTCTTCCCTAAAAAGCATTCTAGGTTGCAATACCTAACAAACCGTCCCATACCATTGACACAACAACATCAAACATGACACTCCAGAACAAAAAAATCATTTTCCACAAACACTGACAGGACATATTCACTGAGAACAACGACCCACACAAAGAAGACTTCGACACCGATCACATCTACCCCACACAGCACGATGTAAATAACAAGATAAAAATCGTTCAACCATAAAATTACTGCAACTTAACCTCACTCCACCTAGTAGACTTGCCTTCCCTAACCATTAGAAAACTGCAGCGCACACTAAAAACATTTAAACAGAAAGCACCTAATCCCACTGGCATAACAACCCTCAAATCCAAACAGCTGCGGTCAAAAAAATTTTTCACTACTGCTATACATATTCAATCACTTACTTTTTGCTGGTTATTTCCCTAACGTTGGCTATTTCACAAAAAAATTATTTGTGGCTAATGTGCGCCATTATGGTTTCCTTCCAAATAAAAAATCTAAAAAAATTAATTCATTTCACTACTAGATATCCACGGGAAGTTCTGAGACAAGATGCATCAAACAACAAACAACAGGGTATAAGAACACCTCCCTATTTACAACGCACATAATGCAAGATAGAACTTTTTTAGGAAACACAGAGGGACGCACACAGCATTAGCCACATTGCACGAAACACACGCCATACACCTAGCTGTCCTAGCACAATGAAACACTACAGCTATACGGCACCGCGATGTGACACAAAGACGTCCATGAGGTTTGGCACACCGGAAAATTTCAAAATCATAAAACCCTTAACCTCCATCCGTTCGTTACGAAAACACTAGCAAACTACTTCACGGACAGAATAGCATCCGTTTGAATAGGTAATCACATAGGTCTTCCACTACAACTCCACACATGTGTCTTCCACGCATGCCTCTCCCCTACTCTCTACAACTTCTACATCTACAACCTCCCACAAACACTACCTAACACAAAGTACATGGATTTGCAGATGACATAACACAAAAACCGTAGGACGTTACCCACCCAACCACGCAAAGTAACAAACGAAACATACCATTCAACACATCAACACATTCGAAAACAAATGGCTAAGTAGGACGAAAGTTAAAATCATCAACACCAGTAGGCGAAACACATCGGACGTACTAATAGACAACAATCACTAGCTATAGTACACGAAGCATGGGACAGTTTAAGAATTACACTTCACCTCACGCAGCCTCAACACAAAAGGCAATTATCTTTATAAATTCATACAAAATACACAGATTCTAAGTAGGGTAGCGACACTTAAATTATTGATACTTCGCCGGGTTTTGACTGTGCAAGGTGATGTGTCGAATATGGTCGGAATCGCAAACATGCACGTCTTACGTAACATAACATAACATAGTGATGTCGGCTCTGAAGTGTAGGCCTGATGTGGCCTGTCGCCGATTCTTTTCCATTTCGTGCCTTGTTCATAGATCTAAACTCGTGTCATTTGACCGGATCTTTTCATGACTGGCGATAGTTTGAAGAAGCTACTAGACTTCCACCGGGTTCGATAATCTGAGTTGAGTTGAGTATAGTAAAGTTCCCTCGAAAATTAAGGCTGGAAAAACAGCTGAGCTGCAGCTGGCGAGGGAAACACAGAGGTGTGGTGGAGGAGCCAAGGTATCTACTCGTAAGGCGGGTGGAGAGGGGGAGGTGTAGGGGCCAAGAGGGTGGGGAGGGTATAGGAAGGCGAGGCCTGAGCGTAGTCAAGGCACCCCTTGTTCTCCGGTTTCAGGCAGCCGCCGAGGGTTTCAAAAACTTGCCCTCGTTTCACGCACTAGATTTTGTCGGGAATAAAACACTTGTACTAGCCGTAGAATTTTCTCCATCCAAATTGTGTAAACCAACTAATAAGAGAGTGAGAAGTTCTGAGACAAGATGTACCAAAAAACAGGGTACTATAGTAAATGGTTACGAGGGTAAAACAGACATCAAGGACCTCATCAACACATTGGAAACACTAATAGATCCCATAAGAGTCTGGAGAAAGAGAAGTTAACTCTGTGTTGCAATGTTAAAATGAAGAGGCAATGTTAAAAAAGGCAGAGAATTACAGTAGTTTGATAGCAAACTTTTCATATGAATTATAAAAAGTCGGGAAAATATCCCCAGATAAGCACCAGTGTTTATAAGTTACTTGAGTAAAATAAAGACGAAATTTCATTTGACTCCTTTCAACGTCACTAATTATAACGATTCTATTTCGTTCAGTTTGCCGACGTAAACAATAACGCTCCACAGGCTCGTGTTTATCTGGGTACGAGTGCCAGGACGGAACGTGCATTCCTAACAGTTGGGTGTGTGATGGTTATGAAGATTGTCCTAACGGGGAGGATGAAAGTATTTGTTCAACGAATACAACAACGACTACTTCGAGTACAACTACTAGCTCAACAACTTCAGAGACAACGACTAAAACAACGACTACTTCGAGTACGACTACTAGCCCAACAACTTCCGAGACAACTACAACAACCTCTACAACAACTACTCCCTTCGAGACCACAACTGATAGCACCACTGAGAATACCACGCCGGCAACAGGAAAATGTCATTCACCTTATCACTCTGTTGGTGATACTTGCCTCCTTGTGGTGCTCATTGAAGGTAAGTAAAACTTTACAACAGATTAGTAGACATGTCGGATTTGAAATAGGTCCGTAGAAATGATATCTGCTGACCGGCGTTTCTGTGTAAAGTGATGTACCGTGAAATACGAACTCATTTTCTGATTGAAGTGGCAAAAAAATAAACGCATCAGACCGGAAGGTATGAGCTCCAAACGATTAAAAGCAAAATAAGAAGTTGCAGGCGGTCATAGGATCTCCGCGTAAGTTCCAGGCTCGATATCTTCTAGATTATTCACTGATTCAGCCACATAAAATGGTAATAAATATCTAAAAGCGTTCATTTAAATCTTGCCCCACAGTTAAATAATGAATACAAGAGGACGAATTTTGGATTTTAGTAGGCAAACTTGCTCATTGGAAATGCACAAGCGAATGAAAACGATCAGCTATTTCATTTTTCATTTTAAAAATATTTCCATGTTCCTCCGGTCAAATTCCTTTAACTGAGTAAAAGAATCGAAAAACATCACGTGAAGCATTACACTTGTTCAGCAATTTAATAGTAATGAAGTAAAGCAAACGGTTTTTCAATATTCTGCATTTTACTTATTTTCGTTCACTGAACGCTTAGTAAAATTAGGGAACTGAACTGCACTTGGTACATTAACCGACCCAAAATACTAAGGACATACTTTTAGTTTACGTTACGTGTACTAAACAGCATATACATTCAAGAAATTGCATGGATTTGAATTAATAATATAACATCTAGAATTAAGAATGTGTGACACTGATATGATATCAATATTTCAAAATCAGCAAGATGTTAAAGACAAAAAAAAAACAATGTTTGAGGCATCATTGGACTAACAATAATTCAGATACGCTGTCTAAAAATGTCAAAATTCCTTCGTTTTTCTGCACATTTCTTCAATTGGAATTGTGTACGTTAAAGAGAATACGCAAGCTGTTCTTCATAGCAATTATCTATCTTAACCTAACATTTTAAATGTGATCAACTTTCACGAACGAAATGACATCTCAACTACTAGCACAACAATATTCATCTTCTTATTTGTAAGATCGAACGCATTTCAATTACTATCTATAGGAACTCCGGATGAGATGCAGTACGAGTGTAAGATGCTGGGAGGTTCGATGCTTGAGTTTGAGGACGCCAACGACTTCTGGGCGATACTGAGCTACCTCAAGCAGGAAAGTAGGTACAGGGGATGTGGTGCAACGTAGCCTTAGAGTGCTTATACACAAGGCAAGTATTAGCTAAGAGTATTCGCACTCCAAATATTGTGATGATTTATTCTCCAGATGCCAGTAGCTGATGCGTTTGCGCCTGAAACGTTCAGCAGGTTGTTAATTTGCGGTCTGGTATCGGCAGTAGCGATGCGGCCGGCAGCCCTACTATGCATGTCTCCGCTGCTCTGGCAAGTGTTTCTAATGTTATAAACTATGTCTTGCCCGAGCAACGACGGTTCTAAGAACGTCAAGGGGTCTTTATTGATATTGAACTGTTCATATAGAGATTCCAAAAGTACGATCTACTATGTAATGTACGTCACAATGAATATTCCAACAAAATCTAATTGAGAAAGTAATGTGCTGAAACTTAAACGAGACCTTAGAAACCTAACGAGACTCTTACGATGACCTACAAAGCTTTTCATCTCCTCAGCATGAGTGGCAACTATGACACCAATTGCTTCATCAAACACCTTAAACTCGTCATAACCGTTACGTTCCATATTCCACCATGCACCAACATCACTCGACGGCTTCCAACGACGCACTGACACCTGCGGACTGTTAACTGTTTACCAAATACTCTCCTCGTGTGTAGGCTTTCAGCGGCATAACTGGGAGTTTGAAAACTCTCAACGAATAATAAGCAGCTATTATTAGCACCATGTATAAGCACCTTAACTTCCGGACGATACTACGCTGCCTCCAACAGCAATGTGGGACCAATGAATGTGGTGCAACGTAACCTAACTTAATTTGTAAACGATACTGGGCTATCGTGAGCAGCAAGGTGTAACCAGGTAAGGTTGTACAAATTGAATTGATTACAATCCTAGGGAATACTGCGATATCTTGAGAAGCAATATTGAGGCTAGAGCCGGGTGCAATCCGCAAGTATAACTACTTGAAAAAAGTGAACTACATCGGGGCACAAGGTGGAAACAGGGATTGTGACGCTACTAGACAGTACTGCGCTACCTCGAGCAGTAAGGTAGGACCAAGAGGTTTGGTGCAATTCGTTTGCAGGTATAACTATTTGACAAAACTGAACTACCTCGGGGCAACAAGGTGGAAACAAGGGTTGTGACGCTACTGAACGGTAGTGCGCTACCTCGAGCTGTATGGGTGGCCATGGAAAGGTGTTCGACACTAGTAACAATTCTGGGCAATGCTGCGCTATGTTGAGAAGCATGATCGGGACCAGAGCCAGGAACATTCCATCTTATCATAAAATCTATACCCATTAATAATATTTTCGTGATAGTGCGAAGAATCATTATTCTGGACGCCTCTTAAATGACGGTCAGATCTTACTCAACGTGACTACTGGGTGGGTGCTGCGCTGAAGGCCGGCAGCACGACGGCGCACTGGCTGAACGCCGGCACCCCCGTCCTGTCGGGCACTCCGCTGTGGGCCATCAACCTCAACGCCAGCAGCCTCGTCTATGACCAGGTGCGTTTCACAGGTAGATACATTAAACATTAGACTAAACTAGTGTTGTTAGCAGTAACATATCTCTGACCAAAATGTTAGGGGTATATGGTTCCCGTAAGTTCAACATTTATATTAAAAAGGTTCCAGGTTTAGACTCCCGCAATGCTGGTGCTGGTGGACAAAGTTTACTGAACCCAACCAGGCACTACTGAAAAAGTCATATTAGGCAAATCCTGGGGCTTTCACACAAATTAACGCTGCAACCAGCGGAGCCTGAAGTGAAGTTGTTGATTTAGGATGATGTAAGGGAGATGCTTGAAGTTGATGAATGATACGCGCCCCGCACAACCATGTACTTGGACAGAAGCCGTTTTTTGAGGCCCTATTTGCAGCCATATTTGCGAGACACTGCTGGCGCAACGCTGGGTTCATAAACGCCAGGTATTGGCCAGCTCCACATACAAATAACATAGATCGCAAATGCTATTCCAATGCAATTGAAACGTTAAACTGTTACGTTATGAGTATATACAACTTTGATTTAAAACACCTGCTTCTTGCAGAAACGTTATAATCACGAGACCAAAGTGGGCCAAAATATATCTATCACTCAATCAAGAACTAAAGCAGGTTGTCCTTGAACGCCAAATAGAAGCACACTTGCATTGCGCCAAATAAAATCGACAATCAACACTCGTTGGTACTCATTAAGATATCATGTACTCTCTGGATCGCAAAAATGGAAAGAAATGGGAAGATGAAACAGACTTTCTAAATGAAAACTGGCGTCTTGTAACAGGATGGGCAGCTCAGACTCAGGATAGCATAAGGAGGTTCATCAGTCAGTAGTTTCACCTGTCTATTCTCCATCACGTTCATCGAGTGCCGCTATTGAGAAGCAATCCTTTGCAATGCAGCTAAAAGTTAATTACTTCCCCATGTGGTTCTCAGGAGCCAGCGGTGAGCGGCTCCCATCAGCACGTCTACATGCGAGCTCATCGCAAACTACTGCTCGCCGCCGCGCCTCCTGACCAGCTAATGATGGGCACGATCTGCGAGAAGCTTCTGAGCCAGATGGCTTAGGGCGGGACACATGGAACACCACACCACCTGACCAGCTCATGATCGGAACCATCTGCGAGACCCCTCTGAGCCAGATGGCTTAGGGCGGGTCACATGTATCACCTCACCTATTAGCTTGCTCATGATCGGCTCCATCAGCAAGTCTTCCATGATCATCAAAATTGTGTAACTACCTGGTATGAGCAGCGCACATCGTTGGCAACTGCAACTGATGTCGCCTTCGCTTTGGAAACGGAAATGTGGCACTATTATTAATCTCATTAAATGCTTGGGAGGATTGCTCGTTTCATTTTGCTCTGCGACTGTGAAACTTTTTCTAAATATTTCCTAAAGACAATACACAGAAGCATTCGTCTCAGTTTCCCGGATAGCCGTTTTCGAGAAATGGTACATTCGTCTCTTGCATTCGTCTGTATCGTGTACTCGGCTCATTTTATCTAGCAGCCGCCTCTTTCCCTCTGACAGAAACCAATTTCGAGACAACCTTCTTCCCTTCCACCCAACAAGTGATTATTCCTCCCCAGCAGCCACCAACCTCACTTAGGCAGCTCTGTTCCTTTCCAAGCAGTATAATGATGTTTTGAAGTTAGTATACGGAAACGAGAATAACAAAATTAAACGAATAATATTGTTCATGTCTGAAATCCTGTTTCATCATAAAGGAACGTAGTTACGCGGATCGTGCAAAATTGTTTCTAGGACTCGACTGAGGATTATGTAGTTTATAATATCGTGGACTATTATGGGGACAAAAGATTAGGAGTAGAGCTATTTTTTCATCACTCATCTTCTAACGTAAGCACACTGTAAATCAGTTGGAAGGCACAGCATTCAACGTATATTGGCAGGAACACGGGATGCTATTTCGACCATTTGACCAACGTTGATCTAATGACCACACTATCCCGCCATCACGCCCGCTACCGACCGACTGGTTTAAATGAGCTGGATAAATTAAATGAAATCAAAAGGCCGAATACTTTTTCCAATTGAGAGCATTTTGTTCATAACTTTTAGAGCCAAGCAACTACATAGAGTTGATTGAAGTTAAAAAATTAATAACTGTATAAAAATTACTGTGTTGACAAAGTTAGAAAACATTGTTGGACATGTTACTTGCTTGAGATTTGATGCCGGTCTTATAGGCGAAGGCATGAATCTATCAGCGGCAGTCCTCAAGGCCCGAATGAGAGCAAACGATAATAATATGTTAAGTATACGACTCATCATTACTTCAAATAGGAGAAGCATGACACATGTGAGTGAGCTCTGCTACAAGCGTGGGCATTAAGTCCTATCGACGTCGATCTCTGCGTTTTGCAGGCGCCTTCATACTTTTTCACACCGCTTTAATGTACTTTGTAATATCGTTTTAATTACTTTCATAAAGTGACAACATAGTAAAGCAAGCCTCGTTATTCTTTTTGACAAATGTGAGTGAGAAAATTGTTTTATATAAAACAGCATTAAATAAATCCGTCACAATATTGTCTACACAAATGATGAAACTCAATGAAATAGTTTATTAATTTCTATGGTATAAGCACTGCCATGTGCAAAGAAATCGACGAGGTACATGATTAACTTGGTTTTACTTAATTTAATTAAACTGGCGCATTGGTTTCAGAATTTCTTTTCGAATTTACAGCCCTTGATTGATAATAAGGCATTTATATAACGTACTTCGACATGAATTGTGATCACCTCTTCTTGCATCATGGAAACTGTTAATCTTTATGGTAAAAAATTTTCAAGAATCTTCAACACGAAATTGCAACTAATGACGCACATCTGCATAATTGAAAGCTTCCGCGTTCCGCGAAAATGCGTTCCGTTTTTTACATTCACTTTTTAATGACAAACCGCGCGACGGCATTGAATCAGAATTTAATTGTATATATGCTGTGAAGAATTATTCACAACTGGAGGAAGAATTTCCTCCGGCCTATTCTATCGTAGGACAAATCGCCGTTTACCGTCACGTGCATCATTTTTAGATGAACCGTCTTGATTTGCATCTTTGCTAACAACGTTGGTGTTTGATTTTGGTAAGGACCGACAATCTAATTAAAATTCATTCATATTGAGAACTGGATTAATGAAAAAAAATTCCCAGCAACCCTAACCTTCCTTTATAATCAAAGGAATGAGTCAGTCATGCAACACTTGAAATATGCCAGTCGCAATGATGCAGCGTATCATGCTTCATGGGATCACGACATGTGGCGGTGTTAGCTGGCATTATTTCTCCCCTACATGCACAAAGAGAGCCAAACATTGTCGAACGACCGACTCAGCGAGGTGCTTAGTAGAATAGTTCAAGAAACAAAAAGTGTGAATTGTAAAAGTGATGTTTACTAGATATAAAATGGGTTATTTGAAACAGGAATGGTTTTAAAAACTTCAATAATTTTTATGAAGTCGAGCATAGTGCCTATGAACTGGGATATCATCAGTAAAGACGACCTCTGCAATGGAAAAAATTCATTTACCGGCTTTTGTATCCTTTTTTTCCATCACTATAGAATTAACGCGTAGCAGGATGTCAAATGCTTCAACTATTGACCCTTTATTCAACATTCCGCAACCGGTTTCAAACAGTGTGGGCACCATGCTTGTCGCATCGATCGCATGCCATGAATAACTACACAAATTTAGGTCCAAGTAGGGGCGCATGCCGGAGGCCAGCTTTGCCAAACTTCACACGTAGTTCATATTCTTTTCCATAGGTAAGAACGCTAGAGTGCATAATGGCCTATGAAGTCAAGTGCTCAAAGCCATAGCGCCGGATGTCCATAGCCACAAAATAAGCTTGCCAAAGGTAAACATGGTCATACTGCATCTGGCCAAACCTCCTCTGGCCTAACCTCTTCAGGCCTAACCTATACGAGCTGCAACCTTTCTCCACCCAAAACAAACCTGAGCGGACCTAACCTAACCTCATTGGCTGCAAGAAGTTAGAAAGGCGGTCTAAGTGTGCTGGTAGAGCCAGTCATTGGCTACAAGAAGGATGTGAGCCGGGACGGGGTGAATAGGTTAGGCCAGAAGAGGTTAGGCCGGACTAGGTACAGCCGGATGGGAAACTGCCTTCTTATGAGCAAGCATGCTTAATTTAAGCATTGGCTGAAGCCCTACGGCGCTATTATCTTTCGGCAGTGTGTTGCTTGTCTGGATTACGGAGTTTAAGCGTAGTCTGCGGCTTCTAGTTCTGAGGCTGCGTAAAGTTAATGCATGGTGAAGCTAGGCATTGGCTCCAGGGCTTATTTAGGAGTAAAATTTGTGGCCTCCAGCTGCGCCTCCTTCAAGTACACTTCTACCTAGGAAATATTCAAGTAATTAGTTCCGAAGACGACATATGAAAATCTGCTGCTGCAATTAGTGAATATACTTTTAAGTTTTTCGCCCATATATTGCAAATTTTCTTGTGTGTACATATATAGCCTCATGAAACTGACTTGTTTAGAGCAGCATTTACGATCCTCGTGTCACGCGCGTCGCATGCAGTATTTCAGCAATGACGGCTCCAATCATTATCGACGTCGACAAATCTTTTTATTTTTGTAGTTTTCTGACATGATGGCAACCAAGTGGAAGTGGGTAATTTGCAGGCAATTACTAGAATACGATAGACTTTTTCATCTGAATAAGAATTTGTCCAGTGTTGGTCACTTTGAAGCTGATAGTCAGTCGTAACTTGGATCTTCTGCCATGTGCCCAAGACCTCCAACGAATAGCTCCAGTAAATTCTGTTACTGAACTTCGAGTTGCAGGATCAGAAGATTGAAGCTCGCTTCACTAAAGTCTATTATTTGTTTCACTTCGTGACACATGAAATGTGTAGGTCACAGTGATGCAGCGCCGTCATGCTTTATGGGATCACGACATTTGGCGGTGACTGCGGTCATCTTGTCTCTCATGCGCCTGCTAGCGGTACGTTATTAGTTATTAGTTGACGTCACAAATGCATGTTACTGAATTATTCTTTGGTTTCTAAAATAAACCATTAAACTAGAAGAGACTAGAATGATAACGAGCTAAACGAATGAAATTTCAAAGAGTAGCATATTGTCTGTGTAGTTTTGAATAACAAAGATCAACTGAAATATCGTTTGCTAGTAACTATCCTTGAACGGTTTCTCGTCCGTATAAATGAATTAATGGGATATATTGGGTGCGTATAGCCGCGCAAACCGTCAATGTATTTTGATTGGGTGTTTTATTCATCAGTGGGCGCGAGTCCTCCAGCTTTCTTCTGTCATAGGCTAAAACACAATTATTAATCGGGTATTTTTTATTGACGGACACTTAACCGACAAGATGCTTGACATTTTAGAAAACATTCTTTTAGAGGATGACCGAGAGCTATATTATTGTGAAGCCACCGGTAACTCGTCCTTAACTTTCCACCAGAAATGGCAGAAAACTCGATAGCAAAATTCCTGCTGCTGCTAACAGCAGCTGCAACGGCTGCGGGGAAATTTTAGAAGATTTGCAGACCCCAAAACTGGTAAGAAATTGAATCTGCCATTCGGACATTAATATTTGATGCTTTTAGTGACCCTAGAACCCTTGTTGATCTCGTAAGTAGTTGAATATCAATCACGCTATCCTTCATGATCAACAGCAGCGCTCGATGGTCTCCACGCAACATACGACACTAAAAGTAGTCTCCACGCACCATGTTGATAATAATAGTTCACGTGCACTGTGTTAATAATGCCTCCATGTGTTTAATTGCGATTGTTTGCCATTATGGATTATGTTGCGCACGATGGCGTGGAATCTGTTGACGTGAACAAGGAATAATTGAACATAGGTGATTTACAGGCACGTACCTGCCAGGTTTTTAAGCTGACTTACTCGTTGTTACTGTACAGTGGAGTGCCTGCCAGGTTTCATAGCTGCCTTACTCGTTGTTACTGTACAGTGAAGTGCCTGCCAGGTTTATAAGCTGACTTAATCGTTGTTATTGTACAGTGGAGTGCCAGGTTTGTAAGCTGACTTGATCGTTGTTATTGTACAGTGAAGTGCCTGCCAGGTTTCTAAGCTGACTTAATCGTTGTTACTGTACAATGGAAGGCCTGCCAGGTTTCTAAGCTGACTTAATCGTTGTTGCTCTACAGTGAAGTGCCTGCCAGGTTTTTAAGCTGACTTAATCGTTGTTAGTGTACAGTAGATTGCCTGCCAGGTTTCTAAGCTGGCTTAATCGTTGTTGCTGTACAGTTGAGTGCCTGCCAGGTTTCTAAGCTGATTTAATCGTTGTTACTGAACAGTGAA